GCCCCTTTTTCTCGCTCTATATCCTGCCAAGTTTGTGTCTGTGTGAGTGTAAGGGAGTAAAAGAGGGGAAGAGACAGTCACCGCCTGGACATGTGCTCTGCAAGCTAAACTGTGTGCACTCTGCTTAGACAAAATGTTTGAGAAGACTTAAGGAAAAGCTGGTCTGTGCGTGGATAGGAAAGAGAACATGATGTCCGGTATAAAGAGGCTACAACCTCTCTTCCTGCAAGTGACGGCGGCTACCTGGGTCTGAGGAGGGATGGAAGAATATCAGAGAAGTCAGATCTGTTTCTGTCTGACTGACCAATCATCACTTTTAATGATTTGCCGCTGAACAGAGCAGCTTTAAAACACTAGCAGCTGTTTGTGTGCAATAGGCTTATGATATGAGGACATAAAACTTGTGCAAGCAGAGCTTCTTACAGTGCCAGAAAACCACTTTATCTTTCAATGCGGAGCTTAACAAAATCAAACACAAATTTGTAATTCAAAGAAAATCATTAATGTTTTTAGGAATAAAACATAATCTTTTGTTGCACCTCCTTTTACTGGAGGGGCTCTGCAGCCGTATCTTTGACTGGATGTTCAGAGTTGTTGTCTGGTTTGAAGGTGAATTTCCACCTCAATCTCAAAATCCCCCCCAGCATGATGCTGCCACCACCATGTTTCACATTAATGCTGTGTTCCATGATTTTCATGATGCTGATTTTTCTCTAATGTTCTAATAAACCTCTGGAGTCTTTATAGAAGAACTGCAGCTTTAATCCCACACAGATTCCTCCTTGTTCTGCCCAAATCATTTTTTTTTTTTACTTTAACCTTCAATTCCTGTCAACTTGCTATGTGTGAACAGAATGTGCCTTTGGTTAGACTTTTTTTGGGCAGTTTGTTGCCTTTATTTCCTCCTTTGACTTAAATGTAATTCTGCAAAAGGGAAAATGTGAATAGTGATTCGTTATTAAAAATTATTAAAAAGGACGAAAATAGCTTAACATGAAGCTTTTTCACCTTCACTTTTATTATCCTAAATATACGTCACAACATAATTAGTTATCCCTTTTTTAGTGAGAACAGAACATTATAACATTTGAATCGACAATAAGGAAACATTATTTTTTGCCCATATTTGAGTATTTTTCAGAACATATTTGTAGATCTAACTATTTGACCATATCTTTATTGTCGATAAAGAACAAAGGGCTTCTTAATGTTGTTTTTGTAGAAAACTCCCTTTCCTTCTCAGGTTATTTATGCATTTTGGATGTAAGACAGGTTGAAGCTTTGCTCTTTTTTAATTACTGGTTTCATGTGCTTACCATATACTATAAGCAAATCATCTATGTTACTATAGAGTTGTTGTTACATCCATCATGGCCAACACCTTTAACCCGTGCACCAGACTGTAGAGGAGCTGAACAGCTCCTTTAATGAAAGACTTTTACACCTGGTTTGGAAAAAAGGAGCACTACTGCAGGTCATTCCTCTCTGCTGCCATCAGACTTTACAATGCAATTACTATTTAATACCCTGTGCAATAACCTTTGCAATAATCCTGTTAAATAAGAGACCTTCTTTTGACTATTGAGCTGATGTGACAAGTGAATTTCTTCACTGTGGAGGTATATAAGTGTGCTGTAGTGTCTTCTAGGTTCTAAAACTATAGGCTACTGTAATTATTTTTAGTTAGGAACACATCCAATAGTCAGTTTGCTGAAGCTGCATCTCCAGTTTATCATCAGGAAAATCTCTACTCATGTACTGGAGAGAATTTCATGTTACTATCTGTACACATGTGGAGCTTGTAAATGTCCAAATTTAAAGTTTCCTAAAGCTCAGCAGAGGCAGGAAGCAATGCTGCTAAAGTTTTTGCAAATTTCTCATCTTCCTACAGATGGCTCCATAATGGAAAATCATACAGTGTTCTAATAATATGAAACATGTAATATAATAAAATATATCTGATGGTAAATTAATTGCAAGCATCAATATTTTTTATGAAATGTTGGTGGATTGAAGTTGGGAAAGCTTATTGTTGAGCTCATTTTCTTGTTCCCCATAACTAGAACAGTACAGGAGCCAGTGACACCCAGTGACATGGACGGGCTCTATTACTAATATGTTTAGCTCACATTATTCTAATGCTTTGTCCTCAGGGTGTAGGTGCACCCACATTATAAAATAAATCTTCCCTTGTGACCTTTTTGGGGCTGCAGTTTAAACATCATCAACAGCACTCTTCTATTTTTAAGCTGAATGTTAAACATTTTAAGTGATGGAGATCACACATTGTGCCCCGTAGGCTTAGGCAGGGAACACTCTCGGTGCGCTCCACAAAGACAAATAGCTCCAGTGTGAAATCATTTAGTTCGTGTCATGTCTTGCCTAAAGGGGATTACACTTACAACACCAAAGGTAAGAGACTGAAATTCTGAGTGACAAAGTGTGAAGTCTGGATCAGATTAAGAGGGAAGCTTCTCTCCCTATTTTTTTTTACACACATAGTCCAAATGTGATGGAGAGGTAGAGGCTGAGAGAGCGAACAATCTGTGGGAACACGCTGCTGAATAATTACTACTGACATCAGAATAGTTTTCTTTAGCTCTCTGAAGTGGCACAGCTCATTTGTACGGCCTGGAGCTATGCACAACTGTGTGTGCATGTGAGAAGAAGAAAAAGATGGGAAATAGAATAAAATTGACAATTTTTGCCTATAAAATTCCAAGACACCTTTTTGTGGGACCAACAGTCCAACAGATCCCAACTGTAAGACAGTGTGTGTTCATAAGGAAGCGATTACACTGATTTAGTAATTTCCCGATCAATGTGTGGCATTATAACAGCTTAGGCTGCCCCAGGGGGGCTGTTTCTTTCTAGGTGGACCTTGAAAAACAGGAAACGACTTTAAATCTCACTGGAGCACAGAAGAGGATCAGCTCCACCGAATCTGCACAAAAAACATCCCGCACACACTGGAGTAAAGGCCTGAAAGTTGCATGCGCAGGCCCAGAACACACACACAGTCACACCTGAGCCCCCTTCAATAGACATTATTCAACACCCTGACAACCAGGGACAATGGAGCTAAAACCGGCGGTCTGCTAAGAAGGAACCAACCTGTCTGAACACATCAGACATCCTTACCACCCGCCTCATCGCATGAGCTTTTCCGTGCCGAGATGACTTCAGGTGATATCCGGTTTCTGTGTGGATACGCTGCTCTTTGTCCTCACCTGCAGCTGTTTTGTAACAGATTTGAGGGTGAAATAACAAGTCATGTTACAAGAAACTGCATCCGGCAGGCTTGGACTCTGGCTGAGGGTACTCTGGCAGAATTCCTTCAAACACGACTTGGGAACATCATTGCAGCATCTTTCAGCCACCTTTTACCTCTAATCACCCATAAGCCAGGATGCTTTTTTGCACCACCTAATTCCTGCTCCTTTCTGTGGATGTAGCAGGACAGGAAACTCAACGCTACATTGGATCTAGGGCAAAAGAGTGTAATGATTAAATGATTTAACATCAGAAAACAGCAACTTCTAAAACAATTATCACAGTTTGTGTTTAATCAATTACTTTAAAATTCTCTTTCCTGAAGCATCAGGATTTTTGGGGTCACACCTACAGAAACTGGCCTTGCTTCCATAATGTCTAGAAGCCTGTCACAGCAGACAGGATAGACTGAGTTCCTGACCAGTCTGGATCTATGCTTAGGCAAACACTGACAAGTCAGACAAGTAAAGAGGACAGATTCCTCCTCACCCCGTGCTCAATCTACCATTAAACAAATGCGATTTCACTTATTTACTTCCTATACAACATCTCCATCATTTTGTGATTTATGGCTGAAAATTAAACATCTTACTAATTTAGAATTAAAAGCAAATGTGTTAAATGCAAAAACATCCAGCTCAGAGTGAACAGAAGTAAACCCCCAAACCAGATTTAGTGTCATTTATCATGAAGCAAAGGAGAATAAAAAGGAAAGTCAATTGAATCCATACTGAGACAAAACCGTACAAAATTAACATAAACAAATTGTTATCTCCCTCCATTTCTGTCTTAGAGCTTAAATGCCAATTTATGATTAAAATGTCAGATTGGACCTATTTTTAAATTACTTTTAAGAAGTCGTTAGCAGTGTTTTGGATAGTAGCTTGCAGGTTTAGAAGTTAAATATCTTTTTATATCACAAGACTGAATAATTATTAAATGTTCATATAAGAATTTAGATCTGAGGGCAAATTATCCAGGTTTAGATAGTCATCCCTTTAAAGCCTGGACTATAAAATAATTGACAGAATTCATTTTTTTTCTTATTAGAGTTGTCATTAAACTTTTTGAAAAATGACACCAAAAAATAAGTTTTGTATAAGTTATATGAGATAATTTATTTGCATCAAATTTGATACATAAGGCATTTCTCCATAATCTTTTAAATGCTTTCTGTTAACTACTTGCGTCTTATTGTGTAAGTCAGGGTTTTCAAGAATAAAAATATAACACTGATGATGTAGAGGTCTCAAAAACTCATGTATCTAATATGATACAATTGGCTTTAAAAGGGTTAACCTTCTATAATTCAGAGTCAGAGCCTGGTGATCTGGATGTTTAGTTCAGCTATTACAGACTTGAGTTGGACTGGGTGAAATACCTTACACCTTACTTGCACTTAACCCTCAGTAACCTGAGAATTTACTTAAAATAGCAAAAAAAAAAAAAACCTGTGAGGCAGATAGCACTAACAGGGATTCAACAGCCAGACCATGAAAGCAGCGGTGGAGGTTGTGGGTTTAAAGTTAAACAGAATACAAAATACTTGGTTTTATTTTCTTCTCCATTTGTCTGAAACCTTGATCCTAGAAAACTTAATGTTTCCCTTTTCATTAGTATTTACGTTTAATAGCAGAGAAAGCAAAAAAAAAAACACAGAAAGGAAACATGCTTTAGTAAAGAGAGGCGTAATTCTTTTTATTCTATTTCACTTGCAGTTTGACAGAAAAGAGCGATCAGTGTTTCATCTGTAACATATACATATAAGTCCAATTAATATTAAAATTATATTATACATCAAAAGGAGAACCAAAACAGGGAGTGGTTGTTGTCTAAGGAGGAGGGAACCCCAGCGAGGACACAGAGCGTCTGAAGGAGGCTGGAGGTTTGAAGACGGGGGAACTCCACACTGAACTCTGACTGTACGACTGGGGAGTTGAAGGTGTGTCAGGGAGGCGGCTGGAAGACAACAGAAATCCTGTTATTCTGATTTTACAACAGATAACAACTCAAGTTCCTCCCTTTGACTTTTTAAGAAGCTCATATAGAATGGATGTCAGATACAGGAAGTCTGTTACAAGACATGCATTCACCAGCCAGTCCTGTTTTTACCTTTACTTAGAGAAAAACTATATCCATCATAAACACAAAAAAAATTTAACATTTTTGTTTGTCTAAACTGATTTTTATCATTTTAACACCTACAAAAAAAGCTTTAAAAATAGATTGCATCTACTTCAAATTTATGCTGTTGCAAATCTTAATATTTACAAAAAATAATAAGTAAATAATATGTAGATTCCTTAAAGTTACTGAAATGTTTTTATTCCCAGTTCCAATATCTTTGATTAATGTAGAAACCTTATTGGAGGAATCAGAACCAGGATAAAAAACAGAAAAATGGTTCTAGATTTTAAACAGAAGTTTACTTTATAATTCATTTCCATCTATTAGAGGAGATCACCTGACAGTGGCTGAGTGGGTAGAGTGGGCGGTCAGTGGGTTGAAGGATCTGTGAGAGGTGTTACCTGTATAAAAAGTCAGAAAAATCTTTGGTTAATGCGTCACAAATTTAAAAAACTAAAAGATATACAGATAGATATCTATACAACATCTAAAGAGGACTGGGATGTTCTTACTTAATTTGTTTTCTTGATTTATCTGGATTATTTCACTACCAACAAGGAATGATCACACAAATGTAATATTTTAAAAGAAATAATACTTCAGTGATCATTAATAAGTGTTTTTTTTCTAAAATGATGATGAAAACTTCTCCTTGGTGCTCCTGACTGAATGCAGACAGGATAGTAGTTGTAAACAACAGCATCCCATTTAGATTTCTTACCACTTCACCAACATCTGGAAGAAGAGATGGAAAGAAACTGGACGTTCCGGAAGAACCCTGGAACCACAGAGCCTCAAACCTTCCCAAAACTGAAAACTGGTGAAACAGCAGTCGCTATCCGCAGAGAGGTTGCTCTCAAGCTTTACAAACTTTTCTAACACCCATGTGGAGGAGTCAAGTTCTACAAGGAGAAAGGTTCTGTAGTCAGATGACGGAAAGGGTGAGCAGCAGCAAAATGTTCGTTTGGAGGAGACGGGGCAGAGAAGCTTTAAAACGTGAGAACATTGTGCCAGCTGCCATGCACGGGGGTGGAAGCATCATGCTGTGGGACAGCAGACCATGGTCCAACATGGAAGGAATAAAGCAGACTCAAATGAAGCTGGTTAAAAACATGTAAACCACTAAAAAGGATGGTCTGTCAAGTCTGAAAAAAAGGTTTAGAATAATAGTATTGAAAATTTCTCAGTATATTAAACCCATAACTTTATGTTTTGTTGAAGCACCTATATGTCTCTACTTAGCACAGCAGTTCTGGGCATCTTCTCCCATTATTCTCTGCAGAACCTCTCTGACCCAGTCAGGACAGCATCTGTAAACAGCTGTTTCCAGGGTTTCCCACAGATGTTCAGCAGGTGTCAAGACCAGGTTCTGCCTGGGCTGCTAGGTGGACTCTCACAGTCTGTTCCTGCAGCCAATGGATCTGTTTTCCTGCAGAATATCTCCATTGGCTGCTATCATCATACCCCCTAACTTGTCTTGTCACTCAGTTTCTGCTGCACAAACCATCCCACAGCATGATACTGCCCCCACCAAGCTCCATTGCAGGGAAGGTGTTAGCCAGCTGAGCAGTGCCTCTTTTTCTTCAGACATGAATCTTTGGAGTTCAGTTCAAATCACAAAATAATAGATGCTTCATATTCATTCTGCCGTGAAAAAATGTTTAATATTTAAAATAAATCAAGAAGGGCTCAGAGTGTTATGACATGTGCAGTTTATAGTGAAACCTTAGCTGCAACTTGGTCTCATAATGCAGCTAATTATAAATCGGTTTGTTTCCTCTACCTCCACTTCCAGCTAAAGTCTGTTAGACAACCTCCAGGCAGACAAGATGGATGCAGGAAACTTATCCCTACAGAGAAACACGCAGGTTTCTAGCTAACATGGTAACAAACCACCGGTTCCTGTGATAAATGACACCCGTCGTCGTGTAAAGACTCGATCCGTCGGATCTAAGACGCTTTAAACAAAAGCTGAAAGAAGGATAAATATTTAGCTTTCCATCCAAGAAACATTTACGTTCTGCCACTGCCAATAATAATAATATGAGCACAGCCCAGCTGAGGCAACACTAATGCAGTTATTTTTCCATAATTCAAGTGAAACCCTTATGGAGACAGAAACGCTTAACCTGAAGCTGTCAGCTTTTTTACGTTTTACTGTTTAACTGGTGGATTGTACGCCCTAAAAACAACATGTCATAAACATTCACTGCTTAATATTCAATAATAATGATTTCATCAAATAAATAGTGTCATTTTGACATGCATCTTTATAAACGTTTATTTCAGTAACCCGCTTTGAAAAACACCAAAAGGAGATTAAATCAATTAAAGTGTTCGTTTTGATCATTAAGGCTAAAAGTTTTTTATCCATTTCTCAAATAACTTCAAATCAGATTAGACAAATAGAAATAAATAATCTAGAAATATGGACCTATTGAAAAGCACAGAACACATTTACTACACAGTATCAGTTCATGATAGCTGGTCTCGGCTTCTATTGTCTCAATTATTACATCGGAGTAACATGGAAGGGAGAATATCAGCCTCTGGTTCTGCTGGGATGTTCTGTAAAGCCAGGCTGCTTTCACAGTCTGTTCATCTTTACTGTTGTTTCAGTGTCTCTCATTTTCCTTTTCACTCTATAAATTCCCTGTGGATTTCTGGTGGGACCAGTCAGGCCCACTACCACTATCATCATTGGCCCAGCTTTGGTACTTTTTTGTGTTGACCCGATACAAGTCCTGCTGGATCTCCACCAAGCTCTCCAGCAGAAGGAAGCACAGAGCGCTCTAAAATGGACATAAGGAAACCCAGCAGATGACATGAAGCCCCAGACCATGAATGGTTGTGGAACTTCAAGAACCCAGGATTCTGGTCCTACTGAGTCTTCCTCCAGACTCTGGGACCTAGAATGAAAGTTTAATCCTAGAGGAGGACTTTGGACCACTGAGCAGAATTCCAGTTCTGGTTCTCCTCAGCCTGGCCAGCCAGACTGTGTCCACAGCATATTGGTCTGGAAAGAAGCAGGTGGGGCCTAATTTCAAATGCGAGACCAACAGAGTTGGAGGAAGCAGTTAAGAACAAATCAAATATGGATGTGATGCAAAAACATCTTTTTTTAAAGAAAAGCTGCTAAAGCAGCCAGCTGCTAAATTTTAAATAATATAAACAGCTCTTCTGGAATATAATAACATTGAAACATGCCACTGTTGCAGCTGCAGTCTTTATCGGTATGGTTACAGAAATGCGTTATTGCATTATGGTCTGTTTTCAGACCAGAGAGTATTGAGCCTTACCAGACTGTAAGACAGTCTGCTGAAATAAGAAAGAATGGATATCAGATACAGGAAGTCTAAAATAATATAACTTCTAGATTGTATTGGGAGTTATTGAGATGTGCCTGCAATTTAATTTCTAAGTAAACACCCTTCTTGTGTCAGAGGCAGAGTCTGACATGGTTGCCACTCCCACCGTGACACAAAGGGGAAATAAAAGCTGAAAGACTGGCGTAGAGGTGGAGTACATACCCATTCTTCCGTCTTGAGGAGGCTTCATGACTGACAGCCTGGGCGCAGAGTTCGGCTGAAGCAGAAAAATAAGCAGAGAAATGTAGCCGATTACCTCAGAGCATTCACTGCCCTTAAGTTTCATGATGCTGTATAATCTGAGGGAATTGTCTTTAGGTGGAGTTGTGAGTGGGGGTGAATTAATGGCACCTACTTTCCTGAACAGACTCCTTTCATCCACCTCCATGCTTTCACTGCTGCCAGACAGGAAGGCACACTTCATTAGTTCTGTTGGGTTCAGCTGGCTGAACACCGCAGTGGTGCCTTTAACCGTTTCCTTTAAGGCACCAAAGGTTTGACGCAACACAAACACTCTTTCCTTTTAAAGTGACAAATCCAGAAATTCAGAGCCGGATCAATTAACAGGAGTAGATCCAATGTATAAAATGGGATCCATATCCAAATCTGAGAAAATAGCTGTGTGTGAAGAGCCTCAGGTAAGAACAATCTACCGTAGGACATCAGGTGTGACTCAGGAGGTGTAATAACTACAGCTTTCCTTACTTACTAAATTAAATATGGTTTGATGTGACAATGAGCTAAAAAGGAAGGTTAAAGAGGCTCCATATTGATGGACATAAAAAAGCACTACTGGAGATAAATACTCACATGTTTGTGGTCGAAGCATGTCGTGGGAGGAACACACCAGAGTTATATGGAATCTGAAGGACTAAATGCAGACGACAAATAATAAAAGCAAATAAAAATAAATATCCGCATTTTCTGAGTGATGCAGAGGCAATCAAGTTAATGCAGTTGGAGTTCTAAAGCTCAGAGAACAGCAACTAATCTGCACTGCAAAAACATTCTGATAAGAGTTAAAATTTCCTAAAATAAATGTTTTTATCCTTAATTTGAGTAGGAAAATAAGTTGATCTGTCAAGCGAATGAGTATCTTTACTCTTAAACAAGATAATCATATAATATGCACTAGAAGGAAGAGACTGCAAATGTTTTTTTCTTAATTTAAATGTAAATTATCTTGGTCCATTGACAAAGTGTTTCACTTACCTCCTTAATTCAAGAAAAAAATCAATAGATTTTTTTCTTTTTTAGAAAAACTGTCTTACTTATTTTTTGCAGTGTGTTCCTCTTTTGAACTTTAGTCCAATTCATGTTATTCGGTTCTTTATTTAAAAAATTATGGAGAAAAAAATATGCGTTTTTACAAATAAAAAAAAAATTTAAAAATGCTTTGGCCAACAGGTAGAAACATGACTCAGAGGCTTTGCATCAAGTCAGATGGGACCAGTGCCTCAATAAAGACGGGATTTCCAGAAAATAATTGGACAAAATGAAGAAATGGTAAATTTACCTTCATCTTTTTTTAAACATGTAATGTTTTTTTTTTTTTTTTTTTTTTTACAATATAACAGAACAAGCTGTGTATTTACTATGGGGCCAAAATGGTAGCTTTAATATTTGCAAATGTGTGTGGAGAGTTGTGTGTCTGTATCTCGATTTGTGTGTGTGCAGTGGGATTTGAAAATGTGTAAATAAATCTGTAAATGTGTGAGGAGATTTGTGTGTCTGTA